GCGTGGGGACGCCTGGGGCAGAGTAGCTGGGGTGCTGCTGGGTTGCTCCAGTAGCGCCGCTCGGTGGCGCTATGGGACCAACCCAGCAGCACCCCAGCTGCTCTGCCCCAGGCATCCCCGATTCAGCCGCTGCTGAAACTGATCAGCAGCATCTGAATTGGGGACACCTGGGGCAGAGCGGACTATCGGAAGGGGGGGCTATGAGGGGTCTGAGGTGGCACCCCCCACCCCATATCCCTCATTGCCCCCCCTTCCGATAGTCCAGCATATTTGATAATCCGGCACCCCCTGGGTCCTAAAGATGCTGGGTTATTGGAAGTTTCCTGTATAACAGATTTATAGTGGACGAATCTAGAGACAGTCCTACTGGCTCTGTGGGATTTTGTTCTGGTTCTGTTCTTCAGTGAACTGCTATTGTAAGTTAGACGACAAGAGGGAATGATGGAAGTTAAAGGAATGTCTTGAGTTGTTCGACAACAGCTCCTCAGGCCAAGATTGGCTTTTTCCTATGGAAAAACTTGTACTGGTGTGTATATACTAGTTTAAATTGGGGAAAATAAATTTATTAGACTATATTAATGAAAACTACTGAGATATTTAAAAGTTTGATAAATTGCAGTAATATGGTCTGTTTAATTTTAATTAAAAGGTAAGAAAAGCTTCAGTCTAAAGCTGTATTCTTTTGCCTTACTTACCTCAAACAGAAACTAAACCTTTTGAATCAGGGAATTCCTATGCTTTGTTTAGCAATGAAAATTGCATATTTGTTTAGCAAAGGGGAATTCCCAGATTTTTAAAAATAATTGTTTTTTAGGTTTTTTTTAACTTGATGTTTTCATGCAGCTTAAATCTCTTTGCTGCTTCAGGCATAATCGTTGCACTTCATTGAGGTTATAGCTATGTCATACTTCTGATCTATAGACAGACGCAACTAGATGAGTGCTGCTTTACATTTTTTTAATGACTTAGAAAAAATATTGTTTATGTAATTCTAGATCAAATGTTATCCAGTTTGGATCCAGCATACACTATTAAATGGAGAAAGTACCTACAATTGAAGACAAGTTTCTATATGGCCTATGTGAGTACTCTGTGGCCAATCTGAATGCTTCAGAAGGGTTTCTAAGGCTTACCTAGAAGTTGGATGGGGAATGGGAGTCAGTTATTTCTTCTTGTCACCACATTACAAAATGATGTATTGCAGTTCCTTTAGTACTTAAAATACATGTTCTAGAATAAAATGCAATTTGTGCCGTGCGGAATTTAGTGTAGTTACTCACCTCCACGAGTGAGGCAGGTCAGTTTGAGTATTTTACACTTGTGCTCTATTCCCTGCACTGATTCCCAGTCTGCTTCCAGATGCAATTCAGCGTTGATTATATTTCTAAATGTATGGATAAGTTATAATCTGATATCAGTTGCCATCTCCATGCTTTCTTGTATCGTGTGTGCTTTGCTAGTTCATGATTTATCTCTTGGCAGTTGATTATATTTCTGCATGTATGGATAAGTTATAATCTGATAATATCAGTTGCCATCTCCACGCTTTCTTGTATCGTGTGTGTTTTGCTAGTTCATGATTTATCTCTTGGCGTGACATTCTCCATCAAGGACCAGTAGCTCTGTACTGTAAATAGTTGCAGCTTGTGGTATTGCCATATTTTGGTTTTGAAAATAAAAATGCTTTGATTTTCTCTTAGTTTGGGTCTGTAACCAGAAGCTGTTTGTTTTGTGAATGGATGAGAAAGTTATGGTTGGGCTGTGTTTGACTTGTGCTATTTATTAAGACCATCCATATGAAATTGGTTTCACAATATAGCAGGTATATGTTGCATCTTGAGACTATTTCTATTAGTTTGGGTCTGTAATGGGGCTAGACCCTAAGGCCATAGAGAAGTCCTCCAGGAGGCTAGAGAGGCTCTAGAGGAACCAGCCTATCACAGGCCAGAGGAGACTACAGAAGAAGCTGCAGAAACAGAGGCAGCTCAGTTACAGCCCAGACCTGGAAGGGAGAAGGTCAAGGGGGCTGGCTAGCAGAACCAGGGACAGCTCAAAGTGGGGAGCTGTTCAGGACACTGTGTCTAGGAGGAGAAGCCCTGGAGGCACTACTCTCCCACTAAGTGGGGAAAGAGACTGAGGGAAACAGATTGAGACTGGATTGGACTCAAAGGCACTCTGCAGAGCATACCTGGATGGGCCTCTGTTAAAGGTGTACCCGGGAAAGGTATTGTGAATGCACCTAAGTCTGTGAGACTCAGCTGGAGGGCTGAGTAGCTGCAAGGCTTTTAAGACTGAGGCAATGGAGGAACCCGCGCTCCACCAAGCAGGGGGCGCTCATGAGAGGCGAGTGCCCACTCCCGTTACAGGGCCTCATCTAAATTGTGTGTTTTATAAAATAAAGGGAACATTTGATATTGCACTCCAGTAGGAACCCTATTTGTGCATAAGAGCCCAAGTAGTTTTAGAAAAGGGAGAAAATATGAGTGTGGTGATGTCCTACTTGGACGTTGCTGTAACAATTCAGAAGATCAGGAATGTTTCTGTTGCCTTTCTGAATTGAGTAATTTTTTTTCATAAATTTGAAATTATGGTACCTGATTCTCACCATAAACAACTGAGTTTCTTCTCTGCTGAAGGGACTTGCACTTAGGCACCAGTGAGTGCTGCTTCTTGCTACTTCCTTGCACCCCCTTCTGGTTGACTGTGCAACTATTGGCAGCCTCAGAGAGATGCAGATCTTGCTATTCTGGCTTGTGTTAAACTGTGCAATGATCTCCATCCAGTGAGGAGTAAAATGGCAAAACTGATGTGGTGCCAGGAAATTGGCAGTTGACGGCAGTACCTGCATTATTCTCTCTCATCAGTCATACTGCTACCATGGTCAAACTCTGCTGGCCAGCGATAAATGTGGAGAAGCAATCAGATCTCTGCAGGAATCAGAAAAATGTAAGTATGATTGCCACATTCTCAAATCTCTCCTGGAACATCTGCTGTTGTACTGGTTAGAGAATATTTAAAAAGCTTTAGTTTTCATACTTCAGAGTAGCTAACAAAATAGCAAATATTTGTGTTAAAACCAAATTAACACATTATCAAGGTTGTATTACAGTACGCAATTAATGCATACTAGCGCGCTCTAATATTAATAGACCCATTCATTCGATCACCGGATTATAGCGGGCTCTAAAATCAATAAGGACTCTAAAGGTCTTTACACTGTGTCCAGAGTCTACAAATGTGTAGTACAAAGAAAATACACAGCAAGGAGATGAATGTCAATCTGCTACACCCCTATTTGGGAGGATGATATAACCCAGCAATGGGCAACTTAGGCTTGTGAGTGGGCCACATGAGTGGCCCTCCTTCATCTCAATGGACTGCAAGATTGTCATAACTAAGGGTGGGGTAGTTTTGCTAACTACAGTGTACTAATTGAACTTGTAGCAGCACTTTGATAGGATGCAAGGGGAGCACACGACTCTGTCATTGTTGTGTTCAATCAGCACTTACCTCACTTCACATGCCCTTGCTTGTCATGCATGACGCTTTAGTAATACTGGTATGAAAAAACTACATAGATGGAAACCAGTGGAATCTGGCAAACCTGCACACAGGCAACAGTAAACAAAATGTTTCATGGACCACACACACAACCCCGATGAGCTGCATGTTGCCCACCACTGATACAACCCCTGTGGTAAGTGCATGTTCCTGATACATCATACTGCAGCAAAATTAGGCAAATCCTCACTAAACTTGGGGGTTACAAGGTAGGGATGTCTACGTGGACTATATGATTAACCGATAAGCCTAGGCTTTATCAGAAGCAGCAAGTGTGGGGGAGCAGGAACCAATGCTGGGGGAACTAGTTTAAAAGCTGATTTCCCCCCAGTACCGGCTCTGCAGTGCTGTCTCCTCGCTGGGGGGCAGGTAGGGGAGGCGGCCGCAAAGCAACCTCTGTCGCAGTGAGCCTGGGCCTATCGTGGCCAGAGG